GATGAGTTTTTTGTTAACTCTTCTGGTGTACATGTAACATTTGTTCCTATTATCTGAGCGTTTATATATTGGAAAGCCATCAGCTTCGATCTTCGTTTCAGATACAAATTCTTTTGGGAATTTTCTCGACCATCTGTTTTTTTTCATCCCAACATGGTGTTTTACTACTATGTGGACCGTGTAGCATGTGCTTCATAACCAATTCAAATAATTTTAGATTCTTTGCTCTATCAGGAATTTCTGCACATATAAATTTATCGATGGCCTCCGGTGTCAGCATTTTATTCTTCTTGCATAATACAAATATGCAATGTGCGTGTGGCAATCCTCGCTTTTGAAATTCGATGGTGATTGTATAGCCCACAATGTCTCCAAACACGCGACCTGATTTTATTTCATCGATGAATACCATCAGTTTGACGAAAAAAATTCGACAAACAATATGAGGAATATCTGATGCAGAAAAACCTCTTGGTAATGTTCTGAGGTAATTTACTATTTCATTCCATTTAGGGTTCGCAGTTACAGTGATAAATAAATCTGGGCGACCAGTTTCTCTTGACATTGCCATGGCATCCTGAAAATGCTGATATTTTGCTCGTGGTCCAGCGTCGAATGATGATCGAAGTATCATTGCCTGCCCTAATCGCACAGAGTCAGAAGTATTCGTTGCACTTCGTTCTATGTGATCCGTTAAACCTTGTAATGTTTCTCTCCGAAATTGATGTGGGTTTGATCGAAAATAGTTCAATTTATTCCATTCATTGACAATGTAAGCATATAACATATATTGCTGACTCAACCTTCCTCCCATAGTAAAGGGATTGAAAGCATTATTTTCCAAAACTCTCAATTGCCATCCGTAATACTGTACAGCGGTAACACGTCGTGAGTTGGTTACAACATTGTTGTTCACATGAATCGAATATCCATGCTGGCCAGTAGGGAATAATAACGGGAATAACATTGGTTCGGCGTGTTCAGATAGTTTATGCATCCTCTGACACTGCATTGCATTTTTCGGATGGACTCGAAACTCATGTTTTGTGGTACCGATCCTTCTTTCCCAGTGATAAGTATCGCACCTACTTCGGTTTTTGCTCCGAGACCAGATGGTAAGCTATATCGCTTCTGTTCTAAGGTCTTAGATGAAGATTGTTGAAAACAGAGTACTGGAGCTGAATTCCCCTCTTTCTTGTATATTTCAGATAAATTCTTGTAAGCCTTGACATACCTATTATCACTCATAATTCTATAAATCATCTTCAGAATTTTATAACTTGAATTTTCAAATTGTCTCAATTTCAGTGCTTCGTTTGGTTCACATAAATAAATTTGCCCGTTTCGAGGCGGCTGTCCTTTTCCTGGGAAAAGACTTATTGTGACCATTACATCAGTTTCTCCCCTAATTTTCATTGATCCCACTCCATGATGATTAATTTCTTCTCGTGGGCAAAATGAAGCCATAGCAAATGAATTGTTGTAGAAACGTATGTATTTACGAAATTGCTTTCCTCTATTACTATTCGCCGTGTATAGTCTTCGCAATTTCCTGGGGAAAACTGGCCAAGGATCCAATTTGATCTTTCCATTATGACAACAATTGTGCTTAACCCTGCCACGCTCCAATTTAAATGACAATGCGCCACATGATTGACACTCTTGATCTAAATTTCAAATATTCAATACCTCAGTATCAGCTGACCACTTTTCACCGCGATATTTTTTCCCACAATTTTTTTTATTCTTTTTATGGTGACTATAATAATGCCGGTTTGTTATAGACCTTTTAACCTTCTTCAGATAAAAATCCTCAAATGAAAGAGACCCTTCATATTCATCATATGATACAATTTTTCTTTTTTAACATTCATTCTATATTCCGACTTTTGAGTTCTAGGGTGTTTATGATTTCGTTGATGAATATCATNGTCTCCTGTGAGATGCAACAGAAATGAAACAACCTAACCTGAACCCCAAAAAAGTTTCACCTCTACAAAAAACCACAGAACACTCAAAAACATCTCCATAAAGAAAAACTGACTTGAATTCAGGTGTCGCCTGAATTTTTGCGTCGCCTGAATTTTTGCGTCGCCTGAATTGTCTTAAATTTTGCCCTTATTTTTTTATTATACAAAGAGACAAGTGCCAACAGANCTATGATTTTCCCTATATCGTCTATTTCGTTCTTTGGCTAATTTTCTTCGCGCATAATATTACATCGTTACAGACAACAGGCGTCAGAAGTTACAGACAACAGGCATCGTTTACGAACATACAAATCATGATTGTTCTGTGAAATTTTGGCTCTATGATTGTGCTTGTATCGTCTGTTCCGCTGTTTGGCCAACTTTCTTCTCTTTGCACATAATATTGCATTTTGTTCAGAAGTTGAAGACAACGGGCGTTGTTTGTGGATGTAGTAATTATGATTTTCTTGGGAAATCTTGGATTTATGATTCAGCTTATACCGTCTTTTCCGCTCATTTTCAGATTTTCTTTTATTTTCGAAATTGTCAGAATGAGAAGATGATGGATGGGTTCCATTTCCGTTCTTAGACATAATTTCAACTCCTGAAACGTATTTTTACAGAATAATTCGGACAATGAACATATTGCAAATTTACTCCCTCCCGTGCAATGAAAATACCGAGAATCTAAGAATTGGTAGGATTTTTAATAATTTCTCAAGATTTACGTGATAAAGTATCAAAAAAATTGCCGGTAAATATTCTTGAATCATGTGCGGTGTGATTTCACCAAAATTTCGATTTTTAAACCGTTGTCGATTATTTTTAGTTAATTTTTGAAAAAGGAGTGCCATAAGACTCTGTGTTAATGACATTTCTTGAATCATTTTTTCCTGAAAATATACATGGTCAATCGGTCTGGGACTTTGAGAAAATATTTCTGATCACTAAGAGAATATACCCTCAAAAATTTCCGTCTATAAACCATTCCCTTCTTTTCCCATTTGATTACTGTGGAAGTACCTTAATACAAGAAAAAATGAAGAAAAAAAGAGGAAAAATTATAACTTAAAAATTTGAGTTCGGAGTCACTAACCACTTAGAGTCTTGAAAACTCCTCGAATTTTGAAATTTTACAATGGAATAATTGGCTCTCTTGCTATAAAAGAAAAATTATATTATATTTTTTTGTATTAAAAGAAAGAAAAAAATCAGAGATAATAAAATTTCAAGATGAAAAATCCCAATGGAAATTGTCTCCTGTGAGATGCAACAGAAATGAAACAACCTAACCTGAACCCCAAAAAAGTTTCACCTCTACAAAAAACCACAGAACACTCAAAAACATCTCCATAAAGAAAAACTGACTTGAATTCAGGTGTCGCCTGAATTTTTGCGTCGCCTGAATTTTTGCGTCGCCTGAATTGTCTTAAATTTTGCCCTTATTTTTTTATTATACAAAGAGACAAGTGCCAACAGATCTTAGAGGGATTCCCCCACCACGCGAGTCGATGAGTCATCGATGACGTCATCCTTCTCGAACGTTCCGCAACGGTGGCGCCAATATCCAATTTCTTACAAGTTCCAACCGGTCATTATGGTATCATATAATTCTCAACAGGATTAAGGGGGAACCCCCACCGCTATAACGTCATCCTTCTCGAATGTACAAGTCTCAGCAGGACTTACGGGAAACCCCCACCTCGCACATTGATGATTCATCAGTCTGAGTGACTCATCGATGTCATTCATCTTGAAAATATTCAATCCAATATTCAATTCTCCAATGTTGTCAAATGTTTGCAAATGTTAAATATTTGCACATGTTGTTAAATATTTGCACATGTTTAGGACTTAAGGAGAGTCCCCCCACCATGCAAGTAAATGAATCATCAGCCTGAGTGACTCATCGATGACGTCATTCATCTCGAAATTTCCGCGATTGTGGCGGCAATATCCAATTTTATCCATGTGTCCACAGATTTTCATATTGCATACAAGTCCCACCAGGACGGTTCCCCCACCATGCGAGTCGATAACTTATCGATGAAGTCATCCGTCTTGAACCTTCCACAGCTTGTGGCGCCGATATCCGATTTCATGCAAGTTTCAAGGTGTCATCATACAAGTCCCAACAGGTCTTAGAGGGATTCCCCTACCACGCGAGTCGATGACGTCATCCGTCTAGAAACTTCCATGAGGGTGACGCCGCCACTAGTATCATATTCCATACAAGTCCCAACAGGACTCAGGAAGTACCCCCACCACGCCCCCGAGTTGATGAGGTGACTCATCGATGACGTACTGGTGAAGCATGAAAAACCGATGCCATTATGCGGCGCATCCAGTGTTTGTTATTTTATCTTAATTTTTTGTTAGTTAACATGGCTTAAAACCCCGACCTTGTATATGGGTATAACCTAAAGATGGGGAATCAAAAAAACAAGGCCATTGGTCGAAGCATTAAATGTTGAACAAATCAACTTTTCCAAGAGAAAAACTTTGGGGGATACGTGAAATTCATCTCAAAGAACATTTGGTTTTTGCAAATTTGTATTGCTATCCCTTGTGGTCGATTATTATAAGAAATGCTATTAATTTTGAACCATTTTAAATTTGAATACATGTAAGTTCTATTTCAATTTTTCACAAATTTTTATACCTTCTCGATTTTTTTGAAACCTCAATATTCGTCAAATTATTAATTTGTTGAATTCTAACGAAAATATTGGTTCTCAAATACTCCCACCACCGACGCGTGCTCCCACCCCTCCCACTCCACATGCTGCCATTGGAAAAAATGAAACTGGATTTTTTCTCTTTCTATGAGCATGAAAATAAGTACCAAAGTCATTTATATGATACAGACAACCCCCTGTAACTTTGAAATTTCACCTCGGTCTCCACTTTAAGATTTCTCTTGCCCTATTACTTTTAGATTTTTCAGTTTTTGCAAGTTAATTTCCGTTTAATTCTTGAAGTCATTTTTCATAATGTAATTATAGCGATACCTTTTTTATATTTCAGAATTCATGGAGGAGCAGGATACAAACCATTTTTGTGGTTTGAGTGGATTCTGACCCTGATTTTTGGATTGAATGCTCTTCATCATTTCATTTGCTACTGTTACGCAACATTGAACCTGCGTCCAATTGTTTTGAGTCCACGTCAGAAGATGTTACTGGGTATAAATAAGGATGATCCGTTGTTTCAGACTGGGAGTGCCAGTCCTGGGAGTGTCAAAAGACCAGTATCAGATTCTCCTATCAATTTGCCTTCTCTAAACCTCAGTCGGCGATCGTTGGGGTCCCCAGGTCTCAACGAGAGCAGTAAGTATATTCCTAAAATGAGGAGGTGAAAAGAGCCGAATTAAAAAATTTGATGCCGATAATTAGCACAATTGAAATTGACAAAAAAATGAAAAAAAAAATTGATAATACACTTGAATTGACGATGAAGGCTATCATACCTTAGGTGGTATGATAGCTGCAATAAATTATAGAAAGAAAAAAAAAGAAACACTGTTTAATGGGAAAAAGCCTTTCGGCATAAGAAACCCAGATTTATTATCAGTACATTGAGTTGGAGGATTCACTGCGAATGGCGGTGTCACACGAGGATTCACACACACACATACATACAACACAATGTATTTGTTCGTTATTTAACGGTTTACGACAACGGCTAGCACGTGTCCACACATAAATATTTAATCTGCACTAAAAAACTTTAATAACGCAGGCTAATTTGGGGGTTAGTTGGCGCAATCGTTGATTGCGTCCTTGGAAGCGTGGTTCTGTGCCACGTGGAGACACGAAATCGTGTAATTTCGTGCCGTTGATTGATCGTTCGTTTGATCCTTAATTCAATGCTACTTGCTATTGAATTTTGGTTCACTAGTGCACTAGATTCGTTGTTCGTTGGTTTAAGTTGTTGAACCCATTGGGCTCGTTCAGTTTAAAGTCGAGATGACTCGATAAAATTTGGATTTTTGTTGGAGCTCGATACACGCTTCAGTGTCGGTTTTTACTAACTGACGCCATAGCGTCCGTCGGCGCGCGCACACCCCATCGAGAGAGGGTGCTTGTTAGGTGCTGCCACCACTTGCCGCCTACTTGTAACCGTCGGCGCGGGCACATACCAGCGACAACAGCGCCCGTAAGGTGCTGCCACCGCTTGTCGCCAGCATGTGAACGCGGCCTCAAACCTTCGCAGGTGTTACGATGTAATAACACTCCAATTTGGGTATAAGATACCATAGGAACTGCGGGGGGAATAAAATTTTCAGAATTACGTATCCTCCCACTTTACTCGTTCCCCGAGAAGTACATATTGTGATTTGATAAAATATGTATGTTTTCGATATTCTTTGTATAAGATATTGGGAGATTTTCGTTTTGTGTCAGCGGATACTTACGATTTTTGTTGTGAACTCGAAAGTTTGATTAAAAGATATTGTTGCGTATTTGCCGTTTTCCTTCCTTTCAACCAACTTGATGTACGGTCGTCTCTTTCTTTTTCGATATTCTCTGCTCTTTTCCTAGTCCGCGGATATGTCTCTTCTTCTTTTTATATCTTTCAATCATTTTTTTAGCCCCATTTATTTAATAAACTCTTTCCATTGATAAATGGTCTTATAACTTTATAATATTGTTCCCTTTCGCAATCACACTTAAAAAACTCGGTATAAGTTAGCTTATAAATAGGGATCAGCGAGGCAAAATGGACTTTTATTTCAATTTTCATTTTTGTCGAAAAAAACTAACTGGTAAGAGAAAAATCGTATGGGTGAATCCGTAATGATCAACGAATAAAATTCTTTAACTTTATGTTAAAAATCAAATCCGTCGTTCTCCCAAAATTGATAGTTTCATTTTTCCAGACGCACTTCAAGTTAACTGTACGGATCAAACACGAGAGGCGTTCAAACCAATCATGGGGGATGTTAAAAAAGGTCCATCAAGTTGGCAGTCCTAGGTGCTCCAATCGAGACCAAAATATACGCAGAATTCGGCACTATTTAGGCGCTTTTAACGTGCTTTCGACTACTGGAGAGAAAACTCCAGAAAAATGTTTTTTTTTTACAAAAACGGAAGGGTTTGAAAGGAACCGATATGGATGAAAGAAGTGTGGGGGGGATAAGCATATGTGTACGGTGAATTCCCCAAATTAGGTGTTATTCAGTGAGACAAGAGGCTCAGTCGTATCGAGAGGCAGGATCATTGGACATAACTCCAGGAGTCTCAGAGTGGTAGAAACGCTTGGAGAGATTAAGCGCTCTCAAGTGGAGGCAGTTTTTAATTTGGTGCTTCATCCGTCGTCCAAGTTTTAATGGTGGCTTAGTTGAGTCAAGAGACAAAATCATTGGGCACGTTTTCAGCAGTCCCGGAATGGTGAACATGCTTGTAGACATCCGGCGCTCACGAATGACGACAATTTCAAATTTGGTGCTCCGCCTCTGGACCGAAATCCATTGGAAGCTCAGTCACATCATAAGACAAAGTCATTGGGTATGTCTCCAGCAGTATCGGAATGGTGGACATACTTGTAGTCATTAGGCGCTCACGAATGAAGACAATTTGAAATTTGGCGCTCCGTCTCTCGACCGAGAACCAATGGATGCTCAGTCAAGTCATGAGACCAAGTCATTGGGCATGTCATGAGATTTTTCGACTTGACTATTGAGAAGGACAGTTTGTGAATTAGAATGGAAAAATTTTTGTAGCGGGGATTGGAAAAACCCATGGAAATTATTGATTTGTCGAAATTCATTAGTCGAATGATGTATTTTGCTCTGCTTCAAAATGGAGCCAAAAAAACATCTCATGATCGAGTGGCTTGATGCATAGTCATCTTTAATAAGTTGACGCTCACTAGTTGAATCAATTGTTGGTGATGTTCTGTCTATAATTTGCCGTCATTAGTGAGAGAAGTGAAAGAATTGACTGTCGTTTCCATTTTTTCATTCGTAGATATAATAACTCTGTGCAAAATATCAGTCGCTCCGCCTAAGAAAAAGTGAATCAACGTAAAGTCTGAGACTGAAATATTTTTCTAATATTTGTGGATATTATTTTGATGAAATATTTTTTCACATTTTGCACACCTTTGTTTTCATCTTCTAACCGTCATAAATGAGAAACCTCAGTTGATTCCCATATTTATTCGATCAATGTCGGCGAATGATAAGACAGAACATCCATAAAAATTTTTTTCCACATTTGCTCCCAAATGACATTTTTCGTCTTGGCTATTGAGGATTACAATTTGTGAAATTTAGTGGGGGAGTTTTGAAAAACACATGGAAATCATTAATGAGTCGAAACTCATTGGTCGAATGATGCCTTTCGCTCTGCTCCAAAATGGAGCAAAAAAAAAACATCTTACGATCGAGTGGCGTGATGCATAGTCATATTTAATGAGTGGACGCTCACTAGTTGACTCAATCTTGAGTAATCTTCTGTCTATAATTATAACGCAACATTAGTGTCATCATTAGTGAGAGAAATAAAAGAATCGACTGTCGTTTCCATTTTTTCATTCGTAGATTTAACAATTCTGTACAAAATATCAGTTGTTCTTCCTAAAAAAAGTGAATTAACGTAAATTCTGAGACTGAAATATTTTTATAATAGACGTATGATTTTGAAGAAACATTTTTTCATATTTTGCATATTTTGCACACCTTCGTTTTCATCTTTTAACCGTCATCAACGAGAAACTTTAGTTGATTCTCGTAGTTCTTCGATCAATATCGGCGAATGATGAGACAGAGCCTCTATAAACAAAATTTTCTACACTTGCTCCAAAATGACATTTTTAGACTCGACTATTGAGGATCACACTTTGCCAATTTTGGTGGGGAAATTTTTGTGTGGGAGATTCGGAAAACATATGAAGATTTTTCGATTAGTCGAAACTCATCACTGAGCCAAAAATATCTCTTCATTACTAGGTCGTAGGATATTTTTCTGTCGAATAAAATATTGCCCCCGAAGGCGAGTGCTCTATTTATATCCGATGCATTTTTTTCGACTTAACGGTACCAANCAAGAAAAATTTGAAAAAATTTGAAGATATGGGGAATGATGTGTTCAATGTGATGGCGACAAAAAACAATGGGGTACCGGGGTGAATAAGAGAGATATTTCAACCCGCCGTACCCATTTGATCCCATGCTTTCTCGAGGTTCGTCACGCGAAATAGAGGATTTTCCGCATTTATTTTCTCGATGTCTAGTTCCGGTTGCGGGTTTGAAATTTCGTCGGATGGATGAATACATATTTCTGCAATGATGGAGGGAAAGAAAAAAATTTTTTTGAATCTTTTTTCAATTTCACTTGGCACCCTTAATGATCAAGTATTCTTTATAACAATACGTTTTTGCCCAGCTGTCATAGCAATATGTTTTTGTCATGACGGCTGGGCAAAGAGTTTTCGGTCGCGTAGCTGCCAAATGCTCCAAAATGATGTGGCCCACTTTGCGAATATGAATTTCTGTTCCTCATCTCAGTTTCTTTTACTTTAATAATTGTTTAAGTATATTGTATCATCCCAAGTACTTGTCAATATTGACAAATATACATTTGGTCTCCAATCAATCCGCTTACGTTTGAAGCTGCAACGAGTTGAGATACATAGGTGACAAATGCATCGCAAATGATCTCGAGAATACTGGTTTACTCGCTGATATTCAACACTATCAATCCTCGTTTATTTCATGATTTGTGCTACCGTTTTCCGTTATGTCCAAGCCACAGATTGAATGAATTTTTATAACTGAATTTCATATTTTCATTGAAATGGTGGAGGCATAAGCATATCGCAGGAATTTTTACTCAATTCGAAATCCTTAGAAAATTGAATAGATCTCAGATCTAATTCATTAATTGTAACAATTTGTACTTTGATAAACGCCGTAAGTATTTGCCTTATATTTTATAATGGCGTGGCGGATTCGTCGTAGCACCCGACAATATCCCTATCATTATTTAAGAACGTTTGGATTTCATTTTCGTATTAGGCGCTACTCAATCGAATGTATATCGGACATTCGAGTTCTAGGGTCCTCAGGCCATGTCGGGCGTCGAGCCCAAGACCCTCGATTAAAGTAGAAGTCCCCAGGGGAGAGCTAGTACCATCTCATTCAAATTGTCGTCATTCGTGAGCGCCTAATGTCTACAAGTATGTCTACCATTCCGAGACTGCTGTAGACATACCCAATGACTTTAATAATCCAACACCATCGTATGTTTAATAATCGTCTTATGACGTGAAACAGCTTCCACTGCATCTAGGTCCAGACGCGGAGCACTAAATTTCAAATTGT